AAATATCAAGCCCCGAAGATGATTCTTATTCTAATTTCTTTCCATTTATATCAAAATAAGATGGCATAATCAGGTCTTGATTTCTTAAACCATCAAGTTGAGTTGACGTTACTATTTGTTCAATCTAATTGAACAGACAGCTGACAATCTTCCATCTGAACGCCTTGTAAGTCGTGACAACAAATCTGAACTGCTTCCCCGTTTGTCTTGCTGGCTGCTACTGCTTCTGCTTTATCGACAGAAAATGCGGAAACTTCTAATTTGTTTTTGGTTCCTCTAATAATACCATTCCATGTTGTTACGTGCCTGCTAAGTTGAGAATTTAAAAAATTCAATCAGTTGGAAGAATGCAATAACCATCATCCTAATTCATGAATAAGCAGCCCAGCAGGCCAACAATCCTGTCGTTAAAATTTATTTAACAATAAAATTTTTATTTTTATTTTTTGCATTTTCAGAATTGTAGAACTAAAAACAAAATCACCATAAATCCCTAAGAGGTCATAAATTTTAAAAGACCACAACAATATATCATCAATTATACAAGCTCTCAATCCTACACTGTTCTCAAAAGATAATAATAATATTAACACTCCCTATTTATAATAGATTAAGTGACTTGGTAAACAAATCTTACAAGCACAAGAAATTTTCTAATTAGAAAATACTGATTTCTAAACAATAAAATTACTCAAAAATTGACTTGACTTGACTAAAGTACTGCTGAGTTTCTTGTGCAAGTATTGAATTAAAGAAATATATAACAGCTAAATTACAATATAGAAACTTTGATAGAAACTAACTTCAAAACAATGCTAAACAATAATATAGAAACTTTAAAACACAACTAAATAACAATATACAAACTTATAGAAACCTGTCCTTCTATGCTTGGTTTGATATGCCAACAAGAACAATAAATTTTTGCTTTGTACATTCCATAATTAATTGACTTCTTTCTTGTATAACGCGGATGGAATGAAAGGGACATGCAAGACGCCGAGAAGCCCGTCAACTAGTTTGTTGATAAGTGCTATATATATACCATCAATTAAGATTTTCATGTACATATATCGACAACAATGGCAAATGCTCTCCTTCCTCTTCTTCTCTTTGCATACTTCTCCTTGGTCCTGCAACTTTTTCAGCTAGAATAGGAAACCATCAAAAAGCTCTCCCTCATTTAGTGCCAAAATTTCGAGTATCGCCAGCCAAAGGGCTCATTAGAGGACTTAACTTGCATCCAAGGCAGGGCGTTAACATTGTTACGAATGATTTTGCTGCAGCAAATGACTCAAGAATTGTTGAAAAACCTTTGAAGCTTAATATTCTTGGTGCACCTGACCCCAGCGTTGCAGATTTGGGTCATCATGCTGGATACTTTAACCTTCCCCACACTGTAGGAGCAAGGTATAGACTACCAATGTGAAACACATTGCACGCTATTTTTTTCCCCCTTTACTTTCCTTCTTTGATTATGTAGCGGGACAAGCCTGCCAAACTCCATTATAAGAAAATATTTATTTTTTTCAAAATTCTCGAGAATTTGCAGTAGATATCTCTAGTTAAAGGAGAGCATAGTTGGCACTAGTACAGTAGCACGCATGCACAAGAAGTTTTGTTAGGTACAAATCTTATTGCCGCCAAAGCAACCAACCTTCGTAGTCCTGAAGGTAAAAGCTAGTCAAATACGTAGTCACGAGGGTAAAGTAGCGGGATCCTGATAATCAAGAAGTGGACTTCTGCAGCAGACTAGCTAGCCATGCCATGACATAATGGATTCTTGCACAAATCAGATTAAATGGATGGTGATCAATTTAATCTTTATAAAGAGTAGGAAGGGGGGGGGGGTGTGTTTCAGCTAAGGGCTTCAGTTAATTATGTTCAATGTACGAACTATAACCGCTTGAGTTGGTGCTACAACATGCGAATATATTAATTTGCAAGCAGGATGTTCTACTTTTTCTTTGAATCGAGGAGGAAGAATAACTCTGACCCTGTTGTCATCTGGCTGACTGGAGGACCGGGATGCAGCAGCGAATTAGCTCTCTTCTATGAAAACGGCCCTTTCATATAACTGATGGCCTCTCCCTTGTGTGGAATAATTTTGGTTGGGACAAGGTATCTGGTGTGGGATTTTTTATTTTTTTTTTTTGCGCATTTTCGTCTGGAATTTAGCCCCATTATTCTCCATTTCAAAACCAAAACGGGTAAATAGAATTGATTGATTGAATTGCAGATATTGCATCTAGAATATCCATACATATCCAAATGACTTGTAGTCCAATTTTTCACTTTTCTTGCTTTCTGGACTGTTTTTCTCCTCCGCAGGCACATGTCTCATCGCAGCACGTCCATTCTGTGGATCCTAATTTATTTTTTTTCGGTTAATCACTTGCATTCACAATTTAGTGCAACTTTTGCAGATATCAAACATCATATTTGTCGACCAGCCAACCGGCACTGGCTTCAGTTATAGTTCCAGCAACGATGATATTCGCCATGACGAAAAAGGAGTCAGCAATGACCTGTATGACTTCCTCCAGGTTGGCTTCTACTAATGATGTAGTATTTATCGAAGTAAACTATAATGATGGTGCAGTATCACTACTGACAAGAACATTCCTCTCTGACAGGCCTTTTTTAGGAAGCACCCTGAGTATGCAAAGAATGAATTCTACATAACAGGAGAATCATATGCAGGGCATTATGTTCCTGCTCTTGCTGGACGAGTTAACCAAGGAAACAAGAATAAAGAAGGAATCCTTATAAACTTGAAGGTGTGCCTCTGAGTGCAAGCTTTTTCAGCTGCATTTTACTAATTTTTGTTTGATTCTAACAATTCACTCATGGTTGAGCAGGGCTTCGCTATTGGCAATGGACTCACAAACCCACTAATCCAGTACAAGGGATTGCCTGATTATGCTTTGGAACATAAATTAATCAGTCAATCATATTACAACGGCATGCAGGAGTCCGTCACAGAGTGCGAAGAGGCAATAGAAGCTTGCGGTAATCATCAGTCCCAATTCATTGGACCTAATATCTCCAAAACACAATCCCAAGGAAAAGAGAGTAAAGAAAGAAGATAAAAAAGAAATTCTTGGGGTCTAAGAATGATCTTCGTAAACCCCTTTTGCCATCCCGTTCTCCATCACCCCCCCCCCCACCCTTCCCTCCTAAAAAGAAAAAAAAAAAGGAAAGATAAAAAATCTGATCATTCCTCAGTTGTTTCTATTTACTAACTGGAAGTTCAATGACAGGCACTAGTGGCACAGATTCTTGTGAGACGGCGTATGAACTGGGCAATGAAATATTCGATGATATATTGAGTAGTGCTGGAAATATAAATGTAAGAACGCAATTTCCTAAGTTTTCCAATAACAGAAGCATCAAAAAACAGGTGCACACAGATTCATTTCCTGACATGATTTCTTTTAATCTTCGAGCTGCAGTACTATGACATCCGAAAGCAGTGTGAGGGTCAACTATGCTATGATTTTTCAAATGTGGAGAATTTTCTGAACCAGGACACAGTGAGAGAAGCTCTAGGTGTTGGGCACATTGAATGGGTTTCATGTAGTTCAACCGTGTACGATGCAATGGTTGATGACTGGATGAGAAATATTGAAGTAGATGTTCCAGCATTACTCGAAGATGGAATCAAGTTACTTGTGTATGCAGGAGAGTATGATCTAGTATGCAACTGGCTTGGTAAGATTTATCTAGTGTTCAGCTGAATTATTTAACTATCATATTGCAAGGGAGCAGTAAAGATAACTGCCAACTAACAACATTGTGTTCTAACATGGTCAGGAAACTCAAGATGGGTTCAGGCCATGGAATGGTCTGGTCAGAAAGCGTATTTAGCTGCTCCTAATACTTCATTTACAACAAATGGTGTCGAGGCAGGAGTGCGAAAAGGCTATGGTCCACTTACTTTTCTTAAGGTACTTAATGCTGGACACATGGTCCCAATGGATCAGCCACAAGCAGCACTGGAAATGTTAGAGAGCTGGATAAAAGGGAAGCTTTGACAGAGAAGGACGTTAACTGCACTTAAATTGTGATTTACCCCATACGAGCTAAAAAAATTTGTAAAGTTTATACATAATGCCTTCACTTTTTATTTTCAAAATGACATCTAAACATTGCTTTAAACATTCAAAGAGATTTTGTTGTTATCTTACAGAGATCCATCCAAAAGATGCTTAGAATTACCATTATGTGCAGCAATAACTGTTTGGAAACTGAAATACAATGTTCACCCACTAGCCTTTGTCATGCCACGTTGAATTCCAAAACAAGTCAGGCATAGAGTTAAAGGGAACAGATCTATCTTCAGAATTACTGAAATCAAAACATAAAACAAACTACTGCTTGGAAACATAAATGGTGACTATAGGCATTCTGTAAGTGATGGTAATTATAAAGCCGTTCATGGATTTCTCTTCCTAAAGGAATAATCCGGCCATTAACTAATTCCTCAAATTAAAATCAAACATATGCATCAAGAGGGAAGCCCTACAGTCACTGCAATACTTGTCAGCCCCTAAAGCACTTATAACATCATTGACACTTTTCAACATACCAATGTTGCATAACATGGAAGATCAGTCGACTTGGTAATTAAGAATTTTTTTTAAAGATCGTTTAAGCTGCTCTACACTAGGCAGCCAATTTTCACATTTTCTGGATATATCCTAAGAGCCTAAACCAGTCTGCTATCCAAAGTTCAACTTCAAAGCCTTCAGGTAATTCATCAAGTCACCAACTGTACATTTTCTGATACGTGCAACTGTCAAATATTCATAATCATCCTGTGTCTCAATCCACCCAAACGGGCAAGATTGCTGAGACCCGCTTCTTGCCACTTTCAAGACTAAGCATCTCCACAGATTCAGGGAATCACTAAATTCAAAGAAAGCCAATCACATTGCCTAGAAGTGCCATTGAATTTAAAAAGATCAAGAGCAGCCGGTAGTTGCTCATTCTTTCCCTTCCTAAAAGAATTTTCCAATCAACTGATCATATTCATCAACAGACTTTGTTTTAACTTGAAACAAAAATGAAAGTTAATCCAGAAATTTCAAGTAAAGAAAAGTGGCATACCAAAAGAAAAATAATTAAAAATCACTCCATGGGTGAAGCATATACAAATGGGGCAGACGTACTTAAGAACCACCTCTTACTTGATACAGTTTCCTCAAGGTCACAATTGCTGGCTGAAAACTAGACTGTAAGGGAACAACTGAGGCAACACGTAGATGCTGTGCATTTCCATTCTTTGGTTTTGACAGCATCACTCTTAACATCTCTCCCTCAAGAACCTTGCCTGCAGTTGTGGCTGCACAAAGATACCCCAGTCAACAACAAGAGTCACAAAGAGCGGCTCAATTCTTTAGAGCATCATGACATATGCGAGTATACTGTCTAGTCAGGAAGCAAGCTTCATAATTAAAAGAAATGCACATAGTTATAGTGATCAATAACCATTTTTTTTAAAAACAAAGGTAAGATGTGACACTTTATGGAAGTAACTGGTTATCTTCATAACCTGTGATTGAGAAGAATAATCTTGAAAACATTTCAATTTTCCAGATTTTGAATAGAATTCCACCGCCTAAGAAAGGTATATCTCTGTGTTTTTTCAATTTCTGGCATTGCACACATGACTGCAGTACAAACATCTAAGATCTTCACTAAGCAACTAAATTGCAGAAATTGTTGTGAAAATAACAAATAGGTTCCAGTTTGGCTAATCAGGAAAACAAAATTTATCATGACACCTTCGCAAAGCCAATCAAGGTTTTTAAATCATTAATTGGAATATATACAATTTGGGTTTAGGAATGACACGATGCCATGTTTCAACTAAATTCCCTCTTCTTAACATAAGTAGCAAAAAAGCTGAAAATGCCGAGTACAAGAAAAAGATCGCATAAAGCTAGTCAGAAAACGATTCATGTAAGCATAAAAGTCATGGTTCAACAAGTTACTTCCGTGTATGAGCTCAGAATACAAATTGTTAATCTTATGCATATTAATTGCACAAAATGCAAGATAAAATTTACAGTACCAGCAAAAGGGTGAATCTTGGCAAAATCAAAAAACTCATCAGCAGAGCAACCAAAAAGAACCCTCGCAGCCCTGTCAAACATTACCACCACAAATACCTTCGTATCCGTAGCTATAGACATCTGCAAAATCCAAATCATCCAAGAACCCGTATCACATTAGTCCAAAAAACTCCAGTGAAAAAGAAAGTAAAACAAAAATCCCACCTTTTTTGGTCATTTTCTCAAGTACCCATTTTTCAATTATACGAACAAGAAAAGAACAAAGCTCTGAACCAATGAATTACTTACAAGAACTTTAAAGAGGCGTTTGGAACCAGAGGAACCAGGATTAAAGGCATTCTTAAAGTTGCAGTATCTACAAATAGGCAAAGAAGCTGAAGAAGAACAAGAATTAATAGTAGCATTCTTATGGGTGGCTTCAGGGAGAGTTTTCTCACAAACAGAGCAAACTCTGTAGTAGAGATTGGTGTGATCAATGGCTACTACTGTGCAGATAGAGTGGTTGGCTCATCAACTTCTGTAATGGGTCTTTTTCTAGGATTTGTTTGGCTAACTGGGTTCTCAGAACTCATTTTATCGCAGGAGGCAGGAAAATGACTAGGAGAGTTTTAGGTTGTTCTAAACTGAAAAGTTCCCTCCGTTTTCACCTGGGACTTGAAATAGAAGACTCGAGTGAAAATTTCCGCTTGCTCTGCCTTAGCTCCCGCTTTTATTTCTTGTTTGTCTTCTGGCGGACACGCTTTTTCAGATTGAAACGCTTTTAGTACTTTAGTGGCTGGCTGCCTAAATTCGGCCCTGGTCCTTTCCCATAATTCTGTCCGATTGTGTCCAGAAAAACAAATGCAGGGTAATTTGCTTTATTAGGGAGGTTACTTACTTCAAACAGCTAATGATTTCACACTTGAATTAAATGCTTTTTACAAAATATAAATTTTGTGCTAATAAGACAATGCATGAGCTTAAGTAGGAGTTTTTAACACAAGTAAAGCGAAAAAATAAAAACGCACATCTCTCAAAATATTAGATTTCTCCGCTCAAAATCCAATTAACTCTATAAATTCACATGTATCTGCAATGGATTAAAAGCATGCACAATAATAATTTATACTTTGCCAGACAAAAGTTGCCCTCTTTTTTTGTGTAAAAATTAACTAACAGAAATTTTAGAAGTACATTAAAGCTGGTGTCCTATTAATGCTTCAGCTCAAACTTCTTAAAAGTATGGAGGTGGATATTGGAGAAAAAGTATGATTGAAGGGGCAAGAAGTAGAATTTAGAGGTATTTGTCAGAGGTAATTGTAATTGTGCCAAACCTGATGGGACCTCGGTCTGATAAGAAGGCATAACAAAACCTTTTGGGAGTTGCTATTGCATTGCATTCCCTCTGATCAGGGCAGCCGCTGATAAGTTGAAAATAAGCAAGCAAAGCTGCAGACAGACACAAAATATCAGCTCAGGTATATTGGCATCTGTGTATATAAATATGTACTTTTCCTTTTAATGGTGTCATCTATTAGTTCTGGGAAACCCGAGTGGGATCCCATTTATCCTTTCCAAATTCTCCAGCAAAAACAAGAATTTCTTTGGAATCTAAATAGTGGGATAAGCGAATACTTGAACTCAGTTTTGAATTTGGCATCTATTTCTCATTGTCGGAAGAACAGTGATGGATTCTACCAATCCTACATGAATTTTTCTTTTTCTTGCAACACGTTTTTAGAACTTCAGTATCTCTATGATGCCAGGATACTCTCTCTCTCTCTCTCTGAATAAAAGTATTTAGTCTTTTTCTTTTTCAGGATTGTGCAAGTACGTATTTAGTAATTTTCAAGAGTTGAAAATAATTTTAGCTTTTTTCCATTGTTTGGTCGAATGATAAAGCACTTCATCAACTAGCTCAAACAAAGATTTCATAGTTTCAGACCTTTTTATTCTAATCGTATTTTTCTTCCTCAAAGATCATAATTTTCCATGCCGTTGGTCGTTGCTGTGAAAGACTTATGAAACCTCGAATCCCCTGCCAATAGATGTACCCATTGTTACCTCTGTGAAGACTGTGATTATGACGAAGGAATTTGGAGAAGAAATGTTGGAACTTTATGTCGGCAGTCATCTAACAGAGATGTTCAGTCCTGCAGACGTGAATATCAGTAACCAATTGGGAAACCAAACACTTTTTTTTTAAGGGAAAAGGAACTTTGGTTGCTCAGGAATCTCATGGATGTAAGGCAGAAACTCAATTTGATCTGATTTTTTTTCTTCTCTATGTTTCAGCAAGCCGCAGGTGACGGTCCATGGAGCCTGACAGGTATAGCAGTCATCATGCTTGGTTGACTTATTACTTGTCTCTTTCTTTCAACCCTCTCATGGTGACGTGTAATTTCATCTGAATATGCACATTTATGGAGATTCGTGTGACTTTAATTCTTAATATTGGTAGTCAATCAGGTTCTGGTGATGTTGTCCAATGAGATTGGAATCACTCTATTTCCTTTTTGCTTTGCACTTCAGTTCCAAATGGTTACAAAGAAAAGGATATTTTGCTTATCTAATTGGTTAAAGAAATGTACTCTAAGGTGAAATAATCTAGTATTGATAAGGCACATTGTTGCCTTTTAGGGCATTCTTCCATGCCTTGAATCATTTGCACTCAAGACAGACTAGAATGATATGAAATCTACAGGATGGAGGTTTTCTTATTATTTGAAGAAATGACCTCAAAAATTTAAATGCCGTTTCTATTTAGCAATACTGAGTTAAGTAACTTTTTTTTTCCGTTTTAAGTAGCATGGACTACTTAAGATTTCTAAAATTGGATTGAATTTTGTGTTGCAGTTATAGAAATAAAACTTCACTGAGTGGTCCATTCTTGTTAAGTTGCTTAAGTTGAGGTGGATTACGTACTCTGTGAGTTATATGCTCTGAAAGAGAGAAGCAATGACAGTTGAAGGAACATGAAAGGGATCACCTTTAACTGAAAATTTGTGGTTCTTGGTTTTAGGTAAATATGGATTGACAGATGCTACTTAAAGGATTATAAGTGGCAGACAAAATCCTGACACTATATTTGGATTTCTGGTTACCATACTATGCCACAGAAAGGAAATTTTAACAATAAAGCCAGGTCTCCCATAGTGTATTGAAGTATTGAACGTTGTAAAACTAACAAAATGTGATAAGAGCTTTGCAATAAGCTTATATGATGAAAGGTGGCACCTATAGAACATGAAAATAAAGGAAAACTGACTTTGATGAATTTGATACCTTGAAATAATAGAACATGCAACAGTCGGTGAACTTTGAAAAATTCACAATTTTGTCTGGTATCCTAGACTTCTCCGCTATGCTATTTCCTGCTTTTATTCTTTTGCCGTCAGAATTTATAGATCGTTCTTAGCTAGTCCTGAGCATATCTAATTGCTTGTCATCCCAAAAAAGTAAAAAGATATGCTGTCAGCAGCTTGTGAAGTATATTCCTTTGGGTTCTGACTTCTGACTAATTGTTTTTTGTTCATGTGATTCAAACATGGAGGTTTTATTTGTGTTCTTCCTTCCATTGTATTAATCTTCAAAATAATTAGGCTTACACAATACTTACTATCTGTTATAGGCTAAATTCTCCAGATACTTCAGCAATTTTATTTGAAGTTCTTGGCCACCAACTTCAATTTTCTCAGGTACTAGATTCTTGACACAGTGTTGCAATTTTTGTTTTGTTATTCTCGATACACAAACGTGTCATTTTCTCTTATAACGTTACGTGATTTTTGTCGTTTTGAGTTTAAATTCAATTGAGAATTTAATCTTGATTTTTGGAACTGTATCTGATTCGGTTCTTCTATGCAAAAATTCAATGGAATTGGAAATACTTGTTTTTCCTGAATTTATTACCACAGATAGAGGAACTTAATATTTTATTTTAAGACAGCTGCAATTGGTTGAATTATGTTTTCCTTGGTTTACTTTTGAGGATTGTATGCAGTGATTGTTTAGTGTTCAAGAGCATATGTCAAGTTTCTGCCTTCGAGTATTAGTTTACTGTGCCTTAACTATTTGCACCTCTTTTGCTTTCACTATTTCAATTCTACTGCTTTTTCTTTTCAAAAGCATTCATGTACTTTCCTGGATCTTGGTAGCTTAATTTTCAGATTTAGTATTGTCTGTATTGTTGTAGGATCCCAATTCCAAGCATTTAGGGACCACAGTGTGGGATGCATCAATGGTATTCGCAAAATTTCTGGTAATATTCATGTCACTTTCACTTGCTTGCTTATCTGAGTAGCCAAAGTACAATGGCATTTCAATTTACAGTGTTATGTTGAGCCACAATGCTGCAGCAATGTAGTTATGAAAGCTAAAACGTTATTGATATTCATCTGGTTTTTGTTCCATTTGACCATGATATGAGTCCACTTGTTGGTTTATTCAATTAATAAGCTGGTATTTGCAAACCTGAATGTAATAGTTAGAGATATCCAGGAGAAAAATTGTAGAAGGGGAAGGTTTTCCCCATCTAAACTGAGAGGAAAACGCGTTGTTGAACTTGGGGCAGGCTGTGGAGTTGCAGGGTTTGGTGAGTTTCTTTTGCCTGCCATTTTTCTCGTTGTGTAGATTACTTTTATATCTTATCCCTTAATAGTCTGAAGTGGGTTCCCTTCTCCAGGCATGGCATTACTTGGATGTGATGTCACTTCAACTGATCAAACTGAGGTTCTACCATTGCTTATCAGAAATGTTGAACGCAATACTTCTAGTATAGTGCAGATGAATTCTGGATTAGGTACCCTCGCCTTTGGGTCTTTGGACCATTCAAGTGATCCTTCTAGTCTCTCTGTGAACTTCTGTTTATGTGCTTTCTCATTCTGATTTTAATAGAAAACAAAAGTTTAGTTGCTTAACTCTTTTCATCCCATTGTAGATCTCATAGAAATCTAGTGGTGCTTAAGTCTCTGATGTAAAAGGTACTACAGGTCATACTTGGACCTAATCTGAATCAGGATTTTGCAGATTCCTTTGGCTCCATCCGGGTGGCAGAGCTGAACTGGGGTAATGAAGATCATATAAAGGCTGTTGATCCGCCATTCGACTACATCATTGGCACTGATGTTGTATGTTTTGTCCTAAATTAAGTTTATCTGATGACTGTTCTGCTAAATTTGAGATTTTGGAGATAACAAATTGCGTAAGAAAATAAATTTTGGTGTTGTTTTTATTTTCACTTTTTCCAGTTTCTCTGGACGTCTTTCATTTTACGTCATTTCGTCTGGATATCTTTTGTTCCTCTAGATGCCATTACTGTTCATTATAGAGTAAATGGAGAAGACTAACTGCAATCTTGCTTTAGTTTTCAACTGCATAATTGGAGGTTCTCTAACTTTTCATAAAGGTTTATGCGGAGCATCTCTTGGAGCCACTTTTACAAACTATCCTTGCGTTGTCTGGACCAAAAACCACAATTTTGGTATTGTTATCTTTCGTACTTTTCTTTTTCAGAAGCCAATTTGTCTTATGAGTGATGAATTCACTTGTTAGTCATGCTGCCACTTCATTTTCAGTTGGGATATGAAATTCGTTCGACAAATGTCCATGAAAGAATGATGGAAATGTGGAAGGGAAATTTTGAGGTGAAAATTGTCCCTAGAGCAAAGGTATGTCCTGTCTTTTAGGATGCTTGTTTACTTGTTTTATGATCTTATCTGTTTCTTGTTTTCTGTGGTCATTGAGTATGCTGGAATTTAGTATTTGATGGGTTTCAGTTGACGTATCAGTATTAAGCTTAAGCATTAAATTTGGTCAGCAAGATCAAAATCTGGCAAGGAAGATTTCAAAATGGGTGATTTTGCAACCAGAAATAGGCTTATGAAATTTTACTGGATCATCAAAATCTGACCTTGCAATTCTTGGTTTCAGATTTCTAACTTGAAGATGACTCTTTATCATGAGCTGTTTTTCTAATTTTGTACCTAGAAATCCTTTTAAGATCATTTTTGGTAATTAAAAAAAAGGAGGACTAATCAGTTTGAGCGTGTAACCTTAATGCCTGAAAGAGAATACCGTCCATTCTCATATACTGACGAAGGCGTGTTTTTCTCCATTTAGATGGACAATAAGTACCAACACCCAAGTATACAACTTTACATTATGAACCTAAAGCCTTTAGAAAGAACAAAAATCACAAGAGAATGTGTTGATCAACCAATTGAAGAGGTTGAAACTGGACCAATTAAAAATGGATCCGATGAAGATTGCGACGCTAGTTGTGGAGTTGATGAGGTGACTGAGGTTGAAGATGAAAATGCCAGTGGACGCATAGTCCCAGTTCCCGATCTCCAGGATAAAAAGCTTAGTGAATGGGAAGCAAGAAGATATGGTGCTGGCTGCTCGGCTGCTTCGCGATATCAAATATCATAGAAGATCTGAGGTTTGTTTCAAAAATCCAAGTTCATACAGCATGTTTCTTCCTTAGCTTTACTGTAGTCCAAAAGTGGAATTTGTTTTATTTTGTAGGCAGCACCTCAAATGGCGTGTCTTTTTTCCTTCATTAGACTGCTAAAGCAATGAAGAAAGAATGGAGCTCCAATAGATTATTGAATTGTGACACTGGACCTTGTTCCGGCTACCATATCTGGATTACCTCCAACACAAGGCCATTAGATTTGCTTCTGCAACTGGAAAAGTTTCTGCAATTACTTGCCATTATCAATGAACAGGCCTAAGCAAATTGGATTCCTCATCCTTGTGACGATGCTTCACCATTTGTCAATCATCTGTAGGTTGCATCTACCTCAATGTTCAATATATGGTGAAAAAAGAGAGTTTGGAATGCTTACTTATTATGGCTGCTAATGCTTGATGAGTATATGATCTTATTCCTGTAAATGCTACATTTACAGTTATCAAAACTTCCTTTCGTTTAAACTTACTGTTATTTTACCTGATATGGTACAAGTCTCTGGAGGGCTGTATGTGTTTTGGTTGATGCATCAAGATCTTCGTCCTGGCTACCTATTTAAATGTCGACACTAGATTAATCTAGTGATAAGTCAGTCTCAGTTCAGCTTTTACTTCATATGCCAACCAAAAATATGTGCATTAGGTGCTAAAGGCGTTCATTGTCAATTATGCCCCTGAAGAAGACTTCCCAAAGGGGATCAGATAATAGTTAATGCAGGTTTCTCTTGGTTTATTTCTCAAAGAAAAAGAAAAAAGGGAATTACGTCACTAGAGTAAATGAGATCTCCTCGAGTAATTGTCAAAAGTATAGATATACAACACAATTAACAGCAGCTTTTAGTGATAAAATATCAGCTCCTGTACATTCTAGCAAATGCAAGCCAAAACAAGGGAAAGAGTTAGAGACTGGACAGCTTTAGCTTGCTGAAGGGCTTGAGTGCTTTATTGAAGAAAGAATTAGATCTTTTATGAGCGGCATATCCTACTATGGAAAATGAATCTAGATATATTCCCACATAAGCAACCAGAGGGTCTCCTCGAGACTTGTCTATAACAAGCCTCAAGTGATAGGATTCAACTATAGAAAATTGTAGCAGCCTTCGATATCCCACGGTCGTGCCATCTATCACCGTCTGCCATTGTCCTTTCTCATTTAAAATGTCTAGATGGAACTCGATAATCCGCTGCCCCATATGAATTGGCTCTTGAATTTCTAAGACGTTGAAAGTAACATGTTCTTGAAAATCTAAATATATTACCCAGTTTGCTTGCTGCTTATCAGGAGCCCAGTAAGAAAAGATACCTTTCTCAAGGATATTCTGAGGGCCAAACCTAGTACCCGCTAAACCTCCTCGGACACTGCTGGCAGAAAGAAGACCCCCTCTGCTAGATTATTGGAAAATATGGAGCTTCGGAGCTCATTGAATTCCCGAAGGACTTGAATATCCTCATCAGATATCAGGCCTGAAGAGTTTGGGGGCACGTTTAACAACAGAAGACAGTTTCTACCAACTGATTTGTAGTACAAATCGAGAAGAGTTCTGGCAGATTTTGGAATTTCTGATGCATGCCAGAACCAACCAGGCCTGATTGATACATCACACTCTGCAGGAACCCAGTCACAGCCAAAAGGGTCTCCCTCCTGTGAATATCTGTTGTACATGTGCATGACAGTGAAATATCCACTGAAGTTCCAATAAGCATCGGTAAAGTTGAGAAAACGCAGCATGGAAATGTTTCAAATATATGACTTGTATTAGCTGCCTGCTACACTGTATCTAGTTGTTTGCTGATACTAGAGGGACATCTATTGCTATTCCAAACCAGATCTCAATTTTATAAGCTGGTTCCTAAAACCATGATGCATTGTTACTTAGTGAGAGTAACAGGAAATTCAAGATAACAACATATCCTTCATAAATAAAAGATGACAGGAAATTCCTTCATATGCATTTTGAAAGCTCTCCATTATATACTCCAAGTCCCCTTAACTAAAGCCTCAAATCCTATACCGATCAAAGTCAAAATTGTGCTTTCATCAACAATATTGACGAGGAAACACCCCGATTGCATGCATTCTACACTAAAATTTGAACAGCTAACTGAAACACATGTCACTTGCCAGCAACTTCTATATTATATGGCAGAAGACATGAGGCCGCTAAGCTTAATAATACAAATCAAGAGGCTCCAACTTAGATGCATGCAGTTGGTTTTATTTAGACATATCAAAATGTCAAATTTAAATATTTAATTTTCTGTTAAAATGAAATCTAACGGTGGAAAAATTTGCACAGAAACTGCAATATTAGCCAATTAAACTTCTTCTACAGGCGACAGCACAAAGACTTTCATTCCACTGAGCGTAAGCAAGATTAAGCAATCATCAGCTGAAAAACAGATAATCAAATGGCAGCACACACACCACAAGTGCTTAAAAATGAATTGGTTGAAATAAAAGGGAAAGGAAAAAAAAAAAGGAATGATCGGGGGCCAAAGGGGTGCACAGACTTGGTTTGTTGCTTCAAAGTAAGCATAATATCAAATGCAGAGTGAGATCAAAACAAGAGGACTCACTTGGATCAGTATCACCAATCTTTGCAGCACTGCAGTTAAAGAGGGACCAGCAAGTATTCCCAGCATAACCACCCTCATCTCCCACCCACCTAGTGTCAGGCCCAGCATCTGAGAAAATGACTGCTCTAGGCTGTAGCTGATGAATAAGACTAAACCAATCTTCAAAGAAATACTCCATATCCTTCTCCCCTCACCTTTTGCTCCATCTAACCAAACCTCTTCCACCACACCATATCTGTAATTCGGTTACAGTAAACCAAAGTAACAGGGATATTACGAAAAGAGAAAAGAGGAAGGAGTTTAGCTATGGTCTAAATTATAAAGAACTATATCAAGTTCAGATCGAGTTATGCATACTGCAATCCCTATAACTGTAGATATTATCTAAAGGAGCAAATTCCTCTCCGAAATTGTTACACTCCAGTAGACAAAATTCTTCCATAAAATAGTTTGCTTCGTGGCTAATGAGGTTGATAATGATATAACGCAAACGTTTACCCTATGATTTCGCATTAGGTCCTATTTGAGCACAAAATACTTCTAAATAACGGACTACCATGTTATGCATAAATGACCCACCCATCTTCCACCGGACTAGCATACTGAAAATGATACCCATTAATCAACCTAAATCACACCAAGAAAAAGATAAAAATTCAACCAGAAAAAGGGAACCAAAAGGAAAAACAGCTTCAATAATTGTCTAAACATCAGCTGATCAAGTCAAAAAACCAACTTTACAAATCCAGTAATAACCCAACTAACATACCAAAACAGCATTAAAATCACACGCAATATCTCCCGCACAGCAGGCAACACCACCCAGAAATGACACAATCCCGGATAAACGGTAACAAAGAATACAAGTACTCACATAAAGGAAGTGACTTTATACCTTGTGAGGAGCTCAGTCATTTGCCCCATATAATACTCATTATAGTCAAGAGTCTTGCCATAACAAGACTCATGCCTATCCCAAGGAGAAAGATAAAGCCCCAACTTCACTCCAGCAATTCTTGCAGCCTCAGCTAGCTCCCCAACAACATCACCACTCCCATTCTTCCAAGGACTAGACTTAACCGAATAATCAGTATACTCAGAAGGCCAGAGGCAGAACCCATCATGGTGCTTAGCAGTCAGGATAACTTTAGAAAAGCCAAAATCTTTGGCCACTTTGACCCATTGGGTGGCATCTAATTTAGTGGGATTAAAGACCGATGGATCAACATGGCCTGTACCCCATTCTGAGCCCGTAAAAGTGTTGGTTCCAAAGTGCAGGAACAGGGCCATTTCTGTTAGCTGCCATGAGAGCTGCTGTGAACTTGGGATTGGGAGAATTGGGAGTGGGGGCGGCTTTGGGTGCAGGGAAGCTAGTGAAGGTGAGGATTGAAGAAGAGTGAAAATTAGGAGGTGGAGGATGCTAATTTGTTGGGGTTTTGACAAAATGGGGTGCTTGAATTTGAATTTGAGCTTTGGGATTGAAGGTTCATCAGGGTTGGCGCGGGGATTCTTGATCATTTTCCAGGCAAGGAGAACAGTTTCTGGGCAATTAGACCAAGTAGAGGGGTTGACTGCACTAGATATTAGAAAACAATATAAATCTAATTGTTTAATCAAATTTGGCTAAGATCTAGTGTTACTGTAACAGGTGAAACTCCACAACAGAAGGTGCAGTGTTGAGCTGCTTTATTGATAAACCAAAGGTGCCAGGTTTAAGGAATCAACCAATTGGACCAACTCCTCAATATCTTTCTCTGATTGAAGGAGATGGTAACGTAAATTACAATCATATGCCAATTTTTTCTTCAGTATACACTTAATTTAAATGGAAGAAGGGGGTCACGTGTTTGTTGGGAATTGAAACTACGCTATGACTTTTCTGTTGGGAGGATCAAAACGCAGTTATCGTTGCTACAGTTACCACTGACATCACGTATGTTTGACATGGATCACAAACTATGACTCCGTTTGAATTAACTGTTTTTGGGGATATTTTTTAAAAATTTTATTGTAGCAGAATTTTTAGAAAATATTTTGGGATATTTTTAGAAAATATTTTGAAATATTTAAGAGTAATAGAATTTTTAAAATATATTTTAAGATATTTTTAAACATAAAAAAAATTAAATTACTTTTTAAAATATCTTTTAGAATACTTTTTAAAAATTTTTATAATATTTAAAAAATTAGTTTTTAAAGAACAGAAGGATCCAAAAAATTAAGCCTACATAAACTTCTACACTACACTAATGCATTTAGGGATAATTTCAGAAATGGATAATTGCAGAAACCTCCCTTGACGTTTTTAGTAGTTGCACTCACCTCCCCTAAGATTTTGAAAATAGCACTAATCTTCCTTGAACTTAAGGTTTTGATAGAAGATTCAACCCATGTCAGAGAAAATGACATTAAAAAAATCTTTTGAGAAATGAGATAATAATTTTGTTTCATTTGTACCCTTTTTGTTTCTTATGAGGTTGTATTAGTAAAATAATGAAAAATATTAAAAGTACAAACCAGTTGGTGAAATTAGAGAGGATACAAGGGTAAAAAAAACAAATACAGTAGTAATAACTAGAAGAAGTAATGAACATACCTTCAAAAATCTGAGATTCTAAAACACATAAAGTATACAACCAACTCCAAAAACTCTCATTTACTAAAGAAACTTTTTGTATTAACTTAATATGATAAAGGATTGTATACCTATGGTCTTTTAATTCCCGCAAATTATTAACGAAAAATTCTTAGATTTGCTTGATTTCTATTTTTTTTTCTCCTTCCGTTTCATGAATGCTTAAGATAAAATGAGATCAACCAAAATCACTGGAACTTATTCTCTTATAATGTCTTGCCTGGAGGTTTCTTTCCCATACATTTTTCTTGCTTCTACTTCTCTCTGTGCAG